GTCCAGAAAACTATTTTAGATTAATGAAAGTTTTGTTACACTGAACTTTCTTAGGTCAGGAATTCTTAAAGCATTTGTCATATGGGCAACAAACTAGGAATTCAAAATTTTTTCACTATACAGTAGAGTTGATTATCTGAAAAATTGATTAACAAAAGTCAACTTCAGAAAGTACTACTGGCACTGGTAGAGTATACATTGCCCCATTACTGCTATTCTTGGGATCTGCATTAATCTTCTGTATAGTATTTCCTTCAATTGTTAGAGAAAGTATCAAACAGAGCTAGTGGAGTTATCAGGAAATGATCATCTTTATAAAGTTGAGTTTTCAGAGACACTGCATTAACCTGTTTAAAAGACTTGAAATTATTCCTTTTGAAGCATATACAGAGAGTATAAAGACATCCTTGTGGTGCTTTTCAAGGTTTGGGGTTCATTTCATTTTGTTTCCAGTGGGAGACCACAAACCCTGAGTCTGAATCACTCTCAACCTTTAGATATCCCTTCCTTCAGGAGGGTTCGATCCTCCAGACCTGTCTCTTTATTTTATCACATAACCCTGCCACACTTGTAGAAGTGATGGAATTCACTCTCCAGGAGGTGATAAACAAATGGACAGCTAGTATGATGGAGCAGATTACATTGGTCAACATCACCTCACAAAGAAGCAGACATTATCTTCTCTGGGTACAACCAACAAGGCAGGCAAGCTACACCAGCCCATCACACAGCGAGAGATGTATGTGTTGTCAGCAGGAAAGTATAGAAACAGCTAGTATAGAGACAGAAATATAACTGTCCACAGTTGACAGGGCTACCTAATAATTTTAGATAATTTGGAGTTTTGCCAATGGTACTAACCAATCAAGTGTATTGGTGTGAAGTTTGAAAGGATTGTTTTTGCAGTGTGTTAAATATGTTTTTTAAAATTTATCTGTATCATTGAAATAAATAATACATAAGTTGTAGTAAAGTTCTGTTTTTTTAACAATAAATTAATTTTTCTAAGTAAAATTGTAATTCATATTATTCTAAATGGCATAAATGAATAAAATTATTATTCANTTATTTTATCACATAACCCTGCCACACTTGTAGAAGTGATGGAATTCACTCTCCAGGAGGTGATAAACAAATGGACAGCTAGTATGATGGAGCAGATTACATTGGTCAACATCACCTCACAAAGAAGCAGACATTATCTTCTCTGGGTACAACCAACAAGGCAGGCAAGCTACACCAGCCCATCACACAGCGAGAGATGTATGTGTTGTCAGCAGGAAAGTATAGAAACAGCTAGTATAGAGACAGAAATATAACTGTCCACAGTTGACAGGGCTACCTAATAATTTTAGATAATTTGGAGTTTTGCCAATGGTACTAACCAATCAAGTGTATTGGTGTGAAGTTTGAAAGGATTGTTTTTGCAGTGTGTTAAATATGTTTTTTAAAATTTATCTGTATCATTGAAATAAATAATACATAAGTTGTAGTAAAGTTCTGTTTTTTTAACAATAAATTAATTTTTCTAAGTAAAATTGTAATTCATATTATTCTAAATGGCATAAATGAATAAAATTATTATTCAAACATTATTCTACTACAATAAATTCTTAGATTCATCAATGAGGATTCTAAACTTTTATATGCCATTTTCTACTGCAAGAATGTAACAATTTAAAATGAAAATAAAAATGCCTTACCTTTCTTTTGTTTTGCTTCTTGTTAATTGTTTGAGCAAAGAAGTTTTTAAAATGATTCCATGTCTCTTTGGAAAGTGGATTATAAAATTTGAGAATAATACTTCTTCCTAGAATAATTTAAGAATTTAATTATTAAGAATAGAAGAGATCAAGATAATTCATTAACTAATTAATGATTTATTATCAATAAAA